CTAAAGGAGACAGTGGAAGAAAACAAGATCCCAGATTAATACCGTGTGAGGCAAAAGTCTGATAAAGATGCTAGGCGGCACTGTACCCTTATTTTCAAACCCTATAGAGTCAGGATGAAAAATCCAGGCATGTTATGTACATGGGAACTCACACTAAACACAGAAAAGATGCAGGTTTTGGTATCACGATTGGCCAAAATTTTCTGCCAGCGACTGTTAACGGCATTGAACAATTTGGCTGAAGACCTTTTCAGTTTTTACTATAAAATCCTTTCTTTTTAGGTTTGGTTATTTTTACATCTAAGTTCCCCATTTACCCACACTCACTAGCAATTACTATATGCAAATTTTTCCCTTGTAATAACCATACCACAATGGTCAGACACCAATACATCGCTCTGGGCAGAAGCTTCTTCCTTCTAGATACTCTCAGGAATCACTAAGAAACTACCAGAACCCTGTACTGGATTTGAAGAAATGGAGTAAAGGATTCTATTCCCTGCTTCATCACTGACTAGACAGGGCCAGACAAGGTACTCCAACCTCTCGTGTGTTTAGTTCTTCCCTCTGCAGTTACTCAGTTTACCTTACGACCAAAGGCTGGGACAGTCTTAACACAATCTCCTTTACCTCTGCTCCCTAGAGGGTAGGATCCTTGGTTTGCTTTTCCTCTTATATATCCTAAGCATCATAATAGTGCCTGGTAGACAATAGGTGCTCGATTAGTATTTGTGAAATGAGTGAATCAGACTGTGACTAATTTGGCTTTGAAAAATGAGGAACACTCAAACTTGGCAGATAATAATTCTGCTTGCATACAATGCTTCCCAGCTGATGGAGCTACTTTGTGTCTTGGCAACTCCAGGAAGTCAGAAAAGCAGAGGGAACTGGGGCTCATCTGTGAATGAGGGGCACACAACTCGGACCCCAGGAAGTCTGCTGCCGGCCCCGGATGGCGTTTTGCAAGATATGAGAAAAGTGGAAAAGAAGTTGTCTCTGGGATCTAAACTTTAAGACAGTCATATCCTGGATCAGGGCTGGAAGAGCATCTATAGGGGAGAGCGCCCAGGGAAGAAGGCAGGGAGGAGGAGGAAACGAATTGTGATAACCCTTCAGGGTCCTGCCAGAAGGCAGCGAATCTCCGAAAGCCACTTTAAATGATCATTTCAGTGTTTAAAGTGTCCTCAGTTTCTTTATCAAGGCCAACCCCATTGTGAAATGCTACATCAAGTGCCCTAAGCTTTATGCCATTAAACTTCTTACTCTCTATCTTCATTGGTTTTGACTATTTTCTTGCGAAACAAACTTCTGGCTACACTCTGGTAACCCCAACCAGCTGATGGTATGTGGTTATATCACAATTAAAATAGACTTTTTAAGCCCAGACATAGGTCAATCTCACAGGTCTCCCCACAAATGTTCTCTATATTTGTTCGACTTTCAGTTTGCTAGTTGTGTGACTCAGGGTGAGTTCATGAGCCTGTTGAAAATACCCCTGTGGAATGTCAGCCCGTCACCCTGATGTGTGTGGCTTTACCACTATGCAAAATGTATAGGGAATCTTTAGCAGTATCCTAACTTTGCTAACAAATAAAGGGCCTCCTAGAGGCTTGCGCATGCTGGAAGTCTGTAAACTCATCAACTCTGGTTTCAAGCCTGTAGAAAGAGCACAGTTCTATGTTTTTATTTCTTTATCATTAAGAAATTATGGTCCTTAAGCAATAAAGCTCACACACAAAAAAAAAAAGGAAGAAAGAAAGGAAAAAAAAAGCTCAACAAGGAAAAGCAAAACAAAAATTTAAGATCTCAAACTCTAACCAGTGAAAGGTGTTTTAAGTAAACATAGATGAGGAAATCTAGAAACTTGGTTGTTGATATGTCAACTCATAAGTAAAATAGCTGCGTGCAGTGGCTCATGCCTATAATCCCAGCACTTTGGGAGGCTGAGGTGGGAGATCACTTGAGGCCAGGAGCTTGAGACCAGCCTGGGCAATATACCAAGACCCCATCTCTCCAAAAGGTGTTTTTAAAAAGTTAGTCAGGTATGGTGGCATGTGTCTGTTGTCCCAGCTACTCAGGAGGCTGAGGCAGGAGGATCACTTGAGCCCAGGAATTTGAAGTCACAGTGAGCTATCACAGGGCCACTGCATGCCAGCCTGGGAAACAGAATGAGACCCTGTCTCAACAACAACGAAAAGGTAAAATGAAGTTAAAATGAATAATTACTTCTAGAACAAAGCAATCTTTTCTATTTCAATTTAAGAAAATATCTCAAAAGATGTGAACCTCTGATCAGAGGTTTCATTCCCGTAACTCAAAGCCCTTTTCTCCCAGAATTAATTTAACTGCATTGCATGTATGATGGTTCCACAAAGATGTGAACACACGTGCGCCTGGCCCACCCTTCAAAGCAGTGAGGGATGACACTCAGCACTCAGAGTGGAGTTTACTTCCTTGAGGTTTGGGCTTTTAGAATAATGCCAGCTGGATCCTGGAACAAACTCAGCGAATAAGCGATATTCCTAAATTACATCAGAATATCCCAATTAGAGAACAGAGACTCAAATCCAAAACAATATTTTAAGGAAATTAAACATCTAATCTGAGTCAAGTGGCTTCTTTAGGAAATACCCTGGTGTGAGTCCTATCTGTTTTTTGGCAGAGGCACGTTTTGGCAGACATGAGGGTGGTAACTGCCCAATACTCAATGGCTCCTTCAGATTGAAATCAGATGTACGCAACATTCTCAATTTAAACTGATTAAACACACAGACTAAACCAGGTAATTACAAATGTATGTGTTGGGAAGTGGAAAGAGGAGACAGAATGGGGACTTCTTTATTTTTTAAAGCGTTTTCAAAGATGGGAACAATTTTACAAATAAAAAAGTGGAATTGTGCCAACTACAGAAACAGATGTTTTGGATCATGAAGCCGCTGGGAATTGAGGCTTCTCTGCCTAGTATTGCCTGGTTCTGATCCAGGATTTAAGGGGTCTGGCTAGTTTTACCTCTAGTTTCATCCTGAAGTTGTTCAATCCTGTTCATTTACCACCCACCACTGGGACAAAAACAGCCTTCAGCTGTAGGAAGGTACAACAAAGAGCAATTTAAATGATTTAGTAGGAAAAAAATCTGCAAATTTTTATTTCTCTTGACATCGCACTACAATGAACACTCAGGGAACTTCGGTGACTGTTCAACTAACAAAAACTCCAAAGTGCATATCCCTTTTTAAAAGCTCATTAGAAAACTGAAAAAGTAATTTCTATTAAGATAGAATTTATCTACTGAATTTCCTGTTAGCTAATCCATACCTGCAAGACTGATGCCTCAGCAGGGGCACTCAGTCCCTGAACAGTCACAATTCTGGGAACAGGGGAAGGTACAGGATCTTGTGAGTACACCAGTTTGGATCATTTTAAGTTTCTAAGCTTTCTGCTGTTCACAGAGGTAGAAACCGCAAATTGTGTCTAACACCCAGAGGTACGTCCGTAAGGGCAGGAACAAAGGCAGTCAACGGCTTAAACCAATTTACATTTTTCAATTTGTACTTTTTATATTCAGGCTAGTATTTCCTGATGGTTGTTTTATTTATTTGTTTATTTTGTTTAATTTTTTTTTTTTTTTAAATAACTGAGCTTCCTTTTCAGGCCTCTCAAGAGTGATTCTAGTGACTGAAATTACTACAGTAGAGTAGGAAAGCTCACGAAGGGCCATGTTACAGGAAGTTTTATTTCCCAAGCTCATGGCACTATAGAGTCTTCCCTTATCTTTGATAAAATTATTCCCTTTTCAGCCTAAATAATATTTCCCTCCCTGTCTGAAAAATAAGAACAAGTCAATTGACCAAAGTTAGGTGGTGAGTCAGGTGAAGACTCTGAATTTGAACACAAATCTCCCTTTTTCTAAATAGACCAAACACAAGGCTATATATGGACTTAGAGATGACAGACTGAAGCTTTCAAATGCCAAAACTGCATATGAAAGATTTTTGACACTTTGCTTCATATCAGCAATGTTCTTTGTCCCCAAGAAAAAAAATTATTTCCTTTATCTTGTTATTTTTGATACAAAGATCATGGTCCTTCTGTCCTACTGGTAAAATATGTCACTTCTGGTTCTTGCTGTTGAACATTCTTTTTCTGAGAGAAAATATTTTTTCCCTGAATTACTTTAAGTTTCTCCAGGTCTTACACATCTGTAATTATCCAGAAGTCCTTGCACACAATCAATGCTTAATGAATGTAAACAGAATGATTACAATTAAAACTTCCAAAATGTAAAGAACCCTATAGAAGGCAACACAGTGACTTAAATTCACACTAAGATCACAGCATGTTATACTTGCCTTGCACTTGACAGTTTAAAACCATTTTCACACACATTTTGCAGCTTGGGAAATACTGAGGTGCCCAAATAAATAACTTTCTCAGTAAAAGACTTGACCAAAGTCACAAAGATATAAAGTTACATAGCCAAGGTTTGATTCACCCAGACGTTTGGACTACAAATCAAATACTCTTTCCAAAATACCATACTTTGCCAATCTCAGATCTTTGCTTAGAGCCCATGGTTGCATGAACAGATTGGAAGAGCACTTAACTCCTGAAAGTGGACAGAGATTGGACTAGGAAGTTGGAGGCACCACAGTGTCATGGCGTGTAACAGAAATGCACAGGCTCCAGAGTCAAGCCGGCCTGCATTTCATTTCCGACTTCATCACTTTGTGACATTAGAGCCACAGGCAAGGTACTTAGCCTCTTGGAGCAACAGAACCTGTAAGGCAGGAACAATAACTGCAGGGTTATTTAGGATTATGTCAGTGCTAAGCACAGCTCAGTAGGTCCTGAATAAATAGCAAGTACTAACACCACCTCCTCTCGCTGGAAGGAATCAAGACGTAGATACAATCCTTGCTCCAGACCCAGCACATGACAGCCTTTAGAATTAGAGAGTTCGTCGTCCCACCCAAATTAAGTGCTTTCACACACAGGCATTG